CAAGCCATCATGTTCATTGGTTAGCCAGTAAATCCGATAGTATTACACTAAGGAAGGTTCAAGGCTAAAAACTACCTATCTTGATGTAGTAACTTTCCAATGGTACTCTCACTAGTGTCTGCATTTTCATCGTTTGCAATTGACGCCAATTTCTATTCATGTGGGAGATTGTTGGAAACGGGGCATACAAAATAGAAATTTTGGATGAAATTTGGAATAGATTCTGCTAAGAATTTTTTGCGAATCTATAGACGAACACATTCCTCTCCGCAAGGAGATGAACGTGGTATATTTATTTTTTCAAATCCGTTTCTGGGTGAATAAGAAATTAGCTCCAAAGTGAGGTATTTGATAAGCCTAAATGAGTATGCAAAATGTGGGAAATGTTTGTCCCACATGGAAAAAATGTTGAAACTAATTAAAGTTTAAATAAGCCAAGTTTGGGATTTGGGTTTGGGCCCAAGGGCACCTAAGTTTTTAAGAGGATAAAGACCTAGGTAAGTTTAGGTCCAACCCATCTACCACACACGCGCCCAACCCGGTCCGAGCTTGGGATTGGCCTTGATTGTAAAGTCTATTTAATTTTTTATTAAACGAAATTGGGCTTTCGACTTTAATTTTTTGTTGGGCTTATTTAAAATTGGTTTTCTTTTGAAAGAGTGTGACTGGTCTGAACCAGTGCGTAAATTTAAATTTAAAATAAACCACCTTCCAGTTTTTTCTAAACCATTATGACCTGTAGTTGCACCCATCCGAAAAGGCACCTTGCTGCCTATATAAACCTCCCTTGGGATCATTTGTAATTCATTCCAATTCAGAATACTTCTTCCCCTATTTTGAATTATCCCCTCTTCTCTCTTCTTGCATTATCAGACCTTAGGTTGTGAGTTCAAGTCTGAGTTCGAGTCTACTTCAGTCAGAAAGTATTACACCAAGTCGAGTCGCCCATTTCTTCAATTTGTAGTGCTACTACCAAAAGAAGAGAAGTCGTTGTATCTTGGGAGATAGACGCCACTGAGTTCATTAGCAACATAGCGGGGCAAATCTGTCTTAAGGATATAGAATCAAATTCTAGCCTCGACTTATAATCAAGTTCTTTTATTTTTGTATAGTTTTATTTTATTTCTTATATATAACTATATTTTATAAGAAATTATATATATATATATATATATATATATATATATATATATGCATTATATTTTTTCATAATATTTAAATAAATAATACTATAGTATATGGTATACTTAGACCATATTTTGGACAACATTTTTATCATGCCTCGTGTCATAAGGTTATTGAAGACATAAAGTTGAAAGGTGTGGTTGTCTTGGTTTAAAGACATAAAAGGCTTCGGGTTTGAAGCATAAGGGGTTTTATGAAAAATCATAAAGTTAGACCAAATATGTATATAGCATAATTAATAATCACATAAGGATGTTATTTCCATGTATTCCATATTTGTTGAAGATCCATGTGAATAATGGTGCTAATGTTATGATCATGGATGGTCATGTATGATTAAATATGTACATAAACCACTGTGGTTCACATTGGTATTATTATTTGACAGGATCTTGAACTAAGTTATTTATCATATTTAGTTTCCGTAGCTACTAAAGTTATCCAATCCGAAAATTTTATTTTGTGAAAATTATTCTATATAATCAATGTTTGCCCAAGTGGGAGAAGGTAAGAATTTTGGACTTCCATTGATTATTATTTTATCTTGATATTTAAAGAAAACTCGGATTGACGATTGAGACCAAATAATGAGTTATCGAATACCCTATAAAGATGTGATCTTAATAATGGTTTGGGTTATGGAATACCTTAATCGCATGTGATCATGTGTCTTGAGATATAGATATAAAGTACGTACAATTACCTATCATGATACGGATTACACATGATATGGGTAATCTGATAGACTCCTTGATGGGAGGAATATTATCAGATAATATATATATACGGTCTTGGTCTCCACTCTTAGGCAGACACTCAATTCGGTTTAGTCTAATCTCATTGAATAGATATCTGAACGAAAATGGATAGGGTGGAAGATCAAAGCACAATTCTATTGTTTATTTCCTTAAGGTTGCAGATCGAAGCATACGTAAAGCGCAAAGACAAATCAAAGCAGACCGTGAGATATAGGGCAAAACATGTGATTAGATTTATTTAGTTTCTAAAAGTACTTTAAATCTAATTATATTTAGTGTGGGTGTGTCTTATGCATGTGTATGATATCTACTGTCTTAGGTTTGGTGTTTGGTAGGATAATGGTATCTATTGTAATCGTAGTGGGCCTTGTCTGGCTTTGTCGTGTCGCCGGGAAAATTGTCGTGGAGTCAGTGAGTCACCTTGTTATAAAATGACACGTGATTAAGACAAAAATACATACGTGTCCCCGAGGCACGTGTTGTTCATATTTATATTTATATATAATTCTTATTGGGTCCGTTTGGTTAGACGGAGATTTATGATGGAAAGTGAAAGTGAAAGAAAGTGAAGTGAAAGAAAGAAAAATCAAGTTTCTTGCATGCATTTGGTTAGCAAGAAAAAATTTCAAGAAAGTTAGAGAAAATATTATTTTATTAGTTTGAATAGCATGAAAGGGAAAAGAAAATGATTTACTTACCAAAACTACCCTCATGATTTAAAATATTAAAAAATAAATTAATTTTGTGTTGGATGAATCATCTTTATACCCAATTATTTATATTAATTTTTAGCAATTAAATAGTAAAATAATGGATTAATAATAATAATTATTATTATTTATATTCATATTTAAATTAGACAAAGTAAGGAGGACTACATTTTAGTTGTCATATTCTTTTTATTTTCTGTTTTCAATAATAATTAGTTATATTTATATGTAGAATATAATTCACTTATCATAACATACTCATGTTTTATCATAAAATAATGGATTATTAATTATTATTATTATTTATATTCATATTTAAATTAGAAAAACTAAGGACGACTGCATTTTAGTTGCCAGATTTTTTTATTTTGTATTTTCAATAATAATTATTTCTATTTATATGTAGAATATAGTTCATTTATGATAACATACTCATATTTTATTGAATTATTAAATATATATTTTTTTAAGCCCCCTCGAAGAAACATTAAATGCTTAAATGGCAACTCTAGAATAAAAATTGTCATGCAAAAGTAACATATTTTATAATTCATGCATAATAATTATATGGTTTATACATAATTTATCAGTACCCTTTCATATTTTTTATGAATATGAACCACTTCTATGCAAATTTTTCTGTGCAAAAATTACACAGTATAAAACGTTATTCAATCAAAACTGTGTAGATAGTAAAAAATAAATATTATATTGATTTCCATCCATGTAAAATTGTTATGTCATATAAATAATATAATGACTCAAATTAATCTCTTCTCATATTTCTATTGAGATATTGATAAAAATTAAAAGTTATATTATTTAATATTCCACCCTTCAACTCTTAATTTATTTCCACAAATTTTAGGTAACGATGTATTGGATATAATCAAATTATGTGTCACAATATATAATAATTGTTGGAATATTTTTTAAATTTGAATTTAATAACCACTATATTTGTTATGTGAAAAAAAATGGAGAAACAACTGGGCATAATAGAAATTTTGGAAATAAAATGACAGTTTTGTGCGAGAAAGTTAACTTTCTTGTATTTTTTGTGAAAAAATATTTTGGGAAAATTTATTGATGTGGAAATCTCACTTCTCCAAAAATTTTCCCTTTCCAGGTAACCAAATTCCTAAAAATTAAATTTTTTTTTTTCCGTTTTTTTTCTTCTCTACCTACTTCATGCTAACCAAATGAGCCCATTGGGTCAAAAATGCCTCTTTATGTGTCCCCGAGGCACGTATTATTCATATTTATATTTATATATAATTCTTATTGGGTCAGGAAAAACCAAAAAAAAAATTAACTATAAAATAATGACATTCATTGATAATAATACAACACTAAAATTAAGTGGCGGAAAAATTCCAGTCCAGTGAGAATGCGACATATATATATATATGTATGTATAAAATCTTCAAACACAACGTTATATATATATATATATATATATATGGATAAAATCTTCATACGAAACGTCTCTCTCCATTATTTCCGGATTCAATTTTCTGCACAATCTGTTCACCTCACCTAAGGAAGACTTACAGTTTTTTTTGCACAATCCATTATTCCTCTGCTTTGTCATGCAATTCAATTCCATTCTTTTTGGGTGAATATTTTACGTTGATTGATCGATAACTATAAAGTCAATGGATCCAATTGGCTCTTTTTAGATGATGATTGAATCTGCATCTCCAATTTTTTAACCTAACTATATTTAGTGGGTGTGTCTTATGCATCCGTATGATATCAACCGTCTGAACTTTTGGGGTTTGGCATGATAATGGTATCTATTGTACTTTTGGGGTTTGGCATGATAATGGTATCTATTGTATTCTAGTGGGCCTTGTTTGGCTTTATGGTATCTATTGTACTTTTGGGGTTTGGCATGATAATGGTATCTATTGTACTTTTGGGGTTTGGTATGATAATGGTATCTATTGTATTCTAGTGGGCCTTGTTTGGCTTTGTTGTGACGCCGGGAAATTTGTCGTGGAGTCAGTGAGTCACCTTGTTATAAAATGACACGTGATTAAGACAAAAACGCCTATGTGTCCCCGAGGCACGTGTTGTTCATGTTTATATTTATATATAATTCTTATTTAGGCCAATCAAAACTACTGTTGACACAGAAGAAACTCTAAGATAGTGACGTGATTAAGACAAAATGCCTCTTTATGTGTCCCCGAGGCACGTGCTGTTCATATTTATATTTATATATAATTCTTATTGGGTCAAAAAAAACTAAAAAAAAATTCTGGGCCAGACAAAATAAACTCTATAAGTGGGGAAAAATTCCACCATCCAGTGTGAATGCCAGAACAGATACGACATATATATATGTTATGTATAAAAGCTTCATACGCAACCTCTCTCTCCATTATTTCCAGATTCAATTTTCTGCACAATCTGTTCACCTCAGTTAGTAAGTAAGACGACTTACAGTTTTTTGCAGAATCCATTATTCCTCTGCTTTGTCGTGCAATTCAATTCCATACTTTTTGGGTGAGTATTTTACGTTGATTGATCGATAACTATAAAGTCAATGGATCCAATTGGCTCTTTAATTTGATCCCAATTCACACTTTGCCCACAAATTTATAGATGATGATTGAATCTGCATCTCCAATTTTGTAGTGGGTTTCAGACAAGCTCTTTCTTGCACTGTAGTTGATATATATATATATATATATATATATTTTCTGTTTAACACAGAAATTGTGAGTAATCAATTCGCTTCTGACAAGTAAGGGAATTAGTTTGTACAATTTGGCTGATCTTATTGTTTTTTGTTCAGGAAAGATGTTGGTCAGTGGTTTTGGTGAAGGAGAAAAGGAAGCTTTTGATTCTTGCAATAATAAGGTAGGGTACATGCTCTCTCTCTGTCCCCCACCCTTTGAATCATCATGATGCCTAATTTATTTATTTTTTTTAGCTTTTTCAGCCATGGGTAATATTTTGGTGATGATTTATTATTTCTATTTCTGGTTGATTAGATTTTTAATTAGACTCTTTTGTTTCTATGTAAAATTTAAAATAATAAATAAACTAATAATAAGAATAAAATATAAGGAATTTGTAGAAGGATTGGCATAAAATCTTAGGTACTTAAAATAAATTAGGTCTTTTATGGTGCTAACAGTGCACTTGTCCATACAACGATAGTTCCATTGGCCAATAACAACACTCCAAGTTAGTTGAATCTAACAAACTCACATGTGTAATACTCTCAATTTTGGGTAGAATGTGTGAAATGTGCTGGTAGAGTGTCAAAATAATAAAATTTAATTTATGTTTAAATATTGGACCTACGTTTTTTCCCTTTATTTTTTATTTTTATTTTTATTTTTATTTTTTTCTTGCTTAACTGGTTCAGTCCAGAACTGAACGAGACTAACTTTGAACTGGCACCCAAACAAAACAAATCTGGTCTCCTTTGTTGGATAATTCGTCAACTTTCCCAAACGACAACAGAGCAAAGCCTCGCGACTTCCCAGCGACTACCAAAAAAGTGTTCTGACAACGGCGACAGTATGAGAGATTCCGGTGATGGTGACGGAGACCGGCGACGGCGCGGACAACGCGACACAATTCCGTCGACCGCGAGGGTTCATACGGTGGCTTCCGGCGTCGGTTGTTGGTGGTGGGCCTGCTGGAGATGGCCATCGACGGCGATCACGGCGATGAGTTGTTCCACAAAGAGATGACGGTGACGGAGGAGGCTGTGTCAACTATGGCGATGGCTACAGGTTTGCGAATGGGTCTTGCAGCCTCTGGTGCACTCGGATCAATCTCAATAATAATTCATGATACGTACTCGGATCAATCTATATGCATATTGCATAACAGTAGAGTAAAATCAAATAAAATCTTACTATTAAAAATCAAATTTTAAAATATTAAGTCTCACTAAAATATCTCTACAGTCAAAATATTATTATTATAATAATATTAAAAAATAAAAATTCAAACTGTAGATTAAATTTGAAATTAAAAATAGCAATAATGAAATTTAACACTCATAAAAATTAAAAAGAGGGACGGTTTCATTCTTCATTTGCATATACATTGGGTTCATCTTCTCCCAATCAGACTATAACAATTTATGCATACAGTTAAGGCTTTTGAGACTACAGAAGCAAGTGTAGGTACTGTTTGATGATTTTTTTTGTTACATTAAACCTTTAAATGGTGGTCTGATTTCTCTCTCTCTCCTTCCTCCTTTTTTTTTTTTTTTTTCAGGTTAAGGTTGACCCGGGGAAACCTGCATCATTGACATGGCAGCGAAAAATAAATAGCGAGGCAAAAGCAGTTTCAGAGTTCAGTCTGACCTGGAAAGATATTATTGATATGGTATATTTACTCTGCTCACTGACTGATACAATTTTTGCTGCAAGTTAGTCTAACATTTGTTGCGAAATTAAACACAAAATACAGAAAAACAGACCAAACACACAACAAGAACACAAATTTTTTTCTTGATTCACTCAAAATTAGGGCTGCTTACAAAGGTTTTAGGGATTAAAAAACGACATCAAATACAGAGAGTTCAGAGTAAATAAATAAGCGCTAGGAAAAAATAATCAGTCCTGAAATTACCAAAATATCCTTTAAAAATTTCGGGACGAGTTGGACATTGGTGTACAATATTTATCGGTCTTCACACTACCCATAAACATTTAGAGTTAAGATGACAGGACTGTTAAACAAACAAGTCAATTCTCTCTAATTGAAAGGTGCAACCGTGCCAATTAAAAGATTTTGTAGGATATTTGTAGTTTGTCATGCAGCCATGCTTAAGTTGCTAAAGCTATTGAAGATGTCCATGCTCTAGCCTTCTACATCATCAATATGCCTCTGCAATTTCAACAATAGCTGAAGTATGAGAGCTTTTTTTGATCTCTCCTCATTGCTCACAAACTAAAGGTTCACCAACATATTGACTTGAGCTCTCTCTGGAATTTAGGAGATTATGGAATTCAATACATCCTGTCCTCCACACCAATGGAATAGGTGTTCCTATTTTTGTAACTTTAATAACCGAAATTCATGTACTGAATCTGAAATTTAACATTTTCAAAAAGAATATATATATATATATATGTATGTATGTATATATATATGTATGTATGTATGTAGAACTTCTAGTGAAATTGTGGAACTATGAATCACTCTACCACCACTTACAACATTTACTGAATACAAGTGTGGTATAATTATATCACGACACAACTTTATTTGTAACAAATGTTCACTTGCATGAATGGTTGAATGCATGAAAAATAGTGATACCGCAGAAGTACATGGTAGATGCATGATTCCATGTTCCTTGGGGCCCTAGTTGGTCATGTAGATTCCTAACTTAATCTTTATCCTCTCTTGGACTGGCTTAGTGGCTCTTTGTCCTCTTACTGTTGTTAATGTCTGTGTTTGTTTTTCTGTAGGCTCCATTAGGTTATCGGCTTTGGCGACATTCCCAAGAAGAAGCCGCCAAGGGAAAGGTAAATTTTCTTCTACTGTAAATGTGGAACTTACTTTGATTGGTGTTTGCCTAGGTGAGCATATACCTTCATTTTATTATATATATATATATATATATATATATCTATATATTTTGTTGCAGGTGGCATTTATCGACCTTTTTAGGAAGCGCTTTGTCACATCTTGTCATGGTGTTCCCCTAGGTGGTATCGGGTAAAGTCCTTAGTCTGTTAGTGATCACAACACAATTCATATGCACTATTCATTTTTATCAACATGCAAGTGTAATAGACAAGCTTATAATATTGATTTACTAATGTCTCTTTTGAGGATTGGTGCGTTGAACACTTCTGTGTCTGCGACGCCTAACCTTTGTTTGGGCAATTACAAAAGAATCCATACTTCAAATTGGTTCAGCGAACATACTCAACTCAACAAAGCCTTTTTCCCAACTAATTGGGGTTGCTACATAAATCCTATTTTGCTATTCTGCTCTATCCAAGGCCATAGCCTCAGTTAAACCACATTGTTCAGCCAACTTAACAAACTTTTTCTTTTATTTGGTTTTCTGGTAACTGGTTATAAGTTTGCTAATTGTCTCCAAAATCTCTACCAGTCCTCGAATCCTTGTCCAAAGGGTAGAAGTACAAATAATCTCCAAACCAAAATAGGCTTGTAAGGACTGAAAGTTTGCTAATTTTCTCGCTGTATTGATGTGTATTCTTTTTGGCCACAATGTTGCAATTTGATTTGCCTAATCTTGACATTTTTTCATCACTACAGTTGAAACTCAATTATAAGACCTCCATCGACCAATTGCACATACCTCTTTTAATTTTCTCCTGGTTGTTGAAAGAATATAATTTGCAGTGCAGGAAGCATCGGAAGAAGTTACAAAGGCGAATTTATGCGTTGGCAGCTATTCCCTAGAATAATTGAAGAGGAACCAATTTTAGCAAATCAATTTTCTGTAAGTTTGATAAATTTATTGAAGGCATATCACTTTGTCATCCTAAACCAATTCACGTTTACTATAGAATCATTTCATTACAACTTTTCATTCCATGGTCCGTTGGGACTCAGTTTGTCTCTTAGCATTTTCCTTTAATACCTGATATTCCTTATTATGAAGATTTATCATTTGTAGAAAAATAGATTGTATTAAAAATTAGACATCTGGACTATTCGTCATAGTTTTTAATTTGCAAAAGGGGGATTGAGATAATCGTTTCATAAAATTGGGTATTTCAGGATCCTTAGAGGGATAATATGGTGTCTTGGGAAAAGAAAGGATATCGATGTAATTAGGACGCATAACCTTAGAGTGATAGTTAGCATGAGAAGAAGCTTACCTCAGTAAGACACATGGAATTGTTTTTGCTTTGTTCATGGAAAAATAATGTGCATATTCGGGAGAATAAAATGCAGTCATGGTCGCGAAGTGTAACAGAGGTAACAGTATTAGCCATTACAGTTGTGGAGTTTTTTCATCCTCACAAATCTTGGTCAAGATGAATTCATACTTAACTTCTAACTCCTAAATATAATAAAATGTGTTTAGGGATTTTTCATGTATTTATTCAATATTTAAAGGTGTTTGAAATGACTATGGACCTATAAATGAAATTTTAAGCAGTTGTTAACAATTCAAGTTTACTAGTATATGCTTAATGGATTTGATTGAATATGTTCAATTTTTCTGATTTTTTAATTATTTTTATTTAAGTTTTTGTGAAAAACATTTTGTGTTGGCTCTCACATGTGCAAGTATCAAGCATTTTTTTATACTAATTTTCCAAAAAAAATTCAATTATATTAATTTTCTATTTTTTTATCACTTTTTATATATATATATAAAACATATTAATGAATGCCAATATAACTGTACTGTAAAGTATTATGTATAATTAAGGGTGCATAACGGGTTGGGTCGGGCTGCGATTTTGGGAAACCAGGCCTGAGCTGGTCGGGCTTTGATTGTTCAATGGTCAGGCTAGGAGGCATTTCAAGAAGCCCAAGCCTGGCCCTTGGGCTTTGGGATATTAGGCTGCGGGCTTGCAATGGTCCAGGTTGTAGGCTTATAATGGGCTAGACTGTGGGCTTGGATATAACGCGCCAACGACTGCGAAGATGGTAACACCTGTAACCTTTCTGAGATTGTGAATAGCACAAAAACACGCTTTAGTGCCTTTGGCTCAAGCTTTGTACAAGTCTGCCCCAGTTGGTGAACAAAACAAACACATCCAAAAGCCTGCAGGGGAATAAAAAAAGAGATTGATTTAAGATCTATGATTGAGAGTGGGTGAAGATGCAAGAAATTTTCTTTTCTATTATGTAAAGTTTTTCTCACACTCCAAACAATCTCCCTCCTTTCTCTCTCTAACTTCTATTTATAGAAGTTTACATTTTATCCTAAACTTCCTTCTTGGTTTCCAAGTTTCAAATCGAAGGGTTGGATCTCTTATCTCAGACCATGTGGCTTAGAGGCCCGCTTCCATTATGGATCTGGCTGGGTTATGGGCCACTGAACATTTGTATTAAACAAGTAGGTTGGGCCGGGTCTGGCTCATTGGAGTGATTGGACCTTTCACTTGCCCCTCAATTCGCTCTAATTAATTAGGGCAAGATTGATTGGCATTGATGCGTGTGGAGTTGACGGCTCGATGTGACAGTATGGGGAAGTGCGAGCGGCTGGCATGGGTGCTTATGTCTCGGAATCTGTGATGTCATCATCACCACGCGGTTTCCTGTGCTGTTTCGTTTCTTGCGCTTGGTTCACTTTAAAAGCTCAGTACGAACACAACTACCTTTCTTCTCTTGTTGACTCAACTTAACAACTTCTTTCCTTCTGACACTCAGTCAAAAAGGTGATTTCCGGCAAGGGTTTGGGTTCATAATCTTCCCAGCGGCGTCCTCCTTTGCGTTGTGTCTCTGTCTCTTTGTTCTTCAAGGTCAGTTTTGTTCCTTAATCGTTTCTGCAAAAAAAATTCTTCCTTTTTTTCGATAGTTTTTTTTTAGAAATCCCCATCATTATCACCATGGTTCTTGATCTCGACACCCTTCGTGTCTGGTGTGAGATCCCCGGCAACATTTATCTTAGATGTTGTCCTAGGAATGTTGATGTCAAGACCGGTGTTGGTCTTCTAAAGGGGGAGATCCTCTTCTCTGCCGTTCACCTGAACATGATCAGGTTTCCTTTACACCCTTTTTCATGTCTTTCTCAACAAACTGAATCTTTTACCATTGCAAGTAAACCCCAACTTCTTTAGGATCAAGTCAGTCCTTCTGATCTTAAATCAAGAAAGGGATTTGAAGTTAGACCTTTTACTTTGTTATAAGGTATGTAGGATCCGGCAGAACGTGGGGTACTATCATCTCTTCCCCCTTCCCAATCGGTCGTTCTGTACCGACAACCTCGATTCTGAAAGGGGCTGGAAGAAAAATATTGTAGCTATTAGGGGGGCCTGGCAGGTTGCTGCTTCCAAAGATGATCCCATCCCTACCGCCTTTACTGATTGCTCAGTTCCTTTGTACGTTAAGTATAAAAAACATAGGAGCGAGTGTATATATGAAACTTGCCTTCTTCGCTTTTGTATTTTCATCTACTATTTCATTAAAATTCCATATGAACTTATGGATTATAGCACTTGCAGGGCTAGGCTTTGTAACTTGGAGCAGAACGTGTGGAACATTATCCCTTCAACTCCCAAATTGTTAACTGCACGAGCTCTTAACAATATTTCTTTTGAAGGGATCTGTATAGATGAATTGCAGGTTCCCTCATTTGGAAGGAGCAGGATATCTCCAAGGCCCGATCCTGCTGCTGCTAGTGGCTCTGCCAGCTCCTCCCAAACTCAGGAGTCCACCTAAGAGAGGGCGTAGGGAAAAATGCCTTCGTTCGAGAGGAGCAGTGACATTGATCTGGACGACATTCCCTGGGACAAGGGTCTCAAGCACGACTGGTCCGGCCGCTCGGATTAACACACCAACTCCGGTCAGCACGACCGAAGGTGCGAAGGGAACTTCATCCGTTCCTCCTACTGTGGCCCAATAATCCCTAAGCTCATCAGGGTGGACGGTTCCATGGTCACTCCCAACGATACTGTTTAAGCATGGTCCAACTGTTCTGGCTTACTAGTCGCACATGTAGTCCCCTCGTGACGTGCAGGTGCAGAGAGAGATATATCGAACAGAGATGTTCACTCGGTTTCTTGTTTTAGCTATGGAGGTAACTTTGAGTTTTATATTTTCATCTTCTTTCCCGATCATTTTGATCTTGCTTTGTTTACATTGAGGGTGATAGATGCCCTTTGTTTCCATACAGACTCTGTTCGGAATGGTCACTATGCAGAGGGCTCACGAGATAGCCAACTAGAAAGTGATCACCCTTTCTTCAGTTTATAAGTTGTCTAACAGCCTGAAGAAGGAAAAGGCAGAGCTAAAAGAGTCAGAACTTAAGCGTTCTGGGCTTGAGAAGGAGAAAACTAACCTTCAAGGCACTCTGGAGGATGAGCGGGCTGCTTGGTCTGCCTTGGAGACGAAATCTTCTGACGATTGTACAACCCTTCTTGGTGTGATAAGCAAGGTTGAAGGTGGTGTCAAAGCCTTTCACACTCGCTTTTCTCGTGCTAGGGCCCTTAGGTATGCTCAGAGGTATAGAGACGGATTCACAGATCGCTCCCTTCCCGAAGGGTAGAGAAGGTCTTATGACGATCTAGATGACTGTGATTGTGATCTCAGGATCGAACCCCTTGGGCACTATACCAATCTTACTCCCAATCGGGCTGAGCTTGTCTTCCGGGAGTGCAAGGAGATCGTCACTTCTGGGGTTATTCTCCCCATCTCGGTTGTCCAGCCTCTCAACACCGCACTAGCAGTCTCACCTCCACAGATTGGGGTGCTAGCTCGTCGCGCTCCTGATGGTCAAAACCCAGCTCCTTTTGAGAATGTGGTGGACTTGGATTCCCCCTCTCGCGGAGACGATCCTCAAGATGACGTGGAGCACGCTTGGGAGGGTGATGCGACTGTTTATGGCTTGTTTTCTTTCTTTTGGGATTGATTTTGTGGTGTGAACGTCATTTATAATGTAAACACTTTTTTGTGTTTTGATGAATGATAATGAAATATATTGAAATATTTGGATTTTATTTTGTCTTCCTCTCTCTTCTTCAATTTTTTTTAAATTTTCACAAGTGTTTGGGGATCAGCAAATAACACCATTTGCCATTGACTTGGTCAAATGCTTGGCGTTTGGAAAATAGAGCCACTTGCCACTAATTTGATAAATTTTCACAAGTGTTTGGCGATCGACAAATAACGCCATTTGCCACTGACTTGGTCAAATGCTTGGCGTTCGGCAAATAGAGCCACTTACCACTAATTTGATAAAATTTCACAAGTATTTGGCAATTAGCTAATAGCGCCATTAGCCACTAACTTAGTCAAGTGCTTGGCGTTTGGCAAATAGAGCCACTTGCCACTAATTTGATAAATTTTCACAAGTGTTTGGCTATCGGCTAACGCCATTTGCCACTAACTTGGTTAAGTGCATCTTGTTCGGAAAATAGAGCCACTTGCCACTAATTTTTTGATCGTTATGTATTAACATCTTAGCAAGTTTCTTTCCTTTAACACTGTTCCTTTCCCTTTTCTTTTTCATTAACAAAAAAAAAAAAAAAAAAGAAAAAGAAAAAAGAAAGAAGAAGAAGAAGAAGAAAACAAAAATACGAACGACATTAAAACCAAACGATATTGTTGTTCTACTGATAATACCTCTTTAGATAGTTTGCATTCTATGGCTTGTCAATTTGCATTCCCGCTAACGCTTCCAGCCTGTATGCCCTTTTTCCTATGACTTCTGTGACTCTATAAGGTCCTTCCCATCGGGACATCATTTTTGGGACGATGCCTACTACCCTCTTTAGTATTAGTTCACCGAGGGCAAAGCTTCTATGCCTCGACCTCTTCTTG